GTAAAGTACAGATGCCCAAAAATTCTACTGAAGTACAGTAACAAAGTATTTGTACTTAGTTACTTTACAACTCTGCGTAGCCTTATATGGTGTTTTTGGGGTAGTAGATTATGCAAATCACCTCTCTCCATGCGCGAGCACCTGATACGCATTCATCAGTTTATGCAGCTCATTTACACACTTTTCCTGAAGAGAGAAGAGTTTGTTGAATCTGACGTGACATGTTCGTACGAACCCTTTGTACGAACAAAAGTAAGATAAATTTAGGATAAGAATACGAACATGTTCTTGCATGAGGCCCATTGTTCTGACAGGTCACTCAGACAGTGAAACCCCCTAACGGTTCCTATGGCTGCCTGAATCAGATATAYGTCTCTAATTCTGCCTAAATCAAGTTGAGGATACTTCTGGTTCCTCTCAGGAATAATGTCTGGATCTAGTTCTTATTAAAGCAGAGCGTCCCTCTTACTTTTAGTAATCTCCTAAACCAGCTCAATGGACGGTTTGCTGGTTGCAAACATTTAGAATTCAACTAAAAATCCACCCTTTTCACACCTGTTGGCCCTGGATATGAGGGAYGGTGTGAATGGTTATTGTCTTGCTTGTCTCTGTCTGTCCCTGAGATGAACTTGAGACAGGACCAAAGTGTAACCAGACTCTCACACAATGACTGCTGCAAACAGTCACCAGCTCCGCGCTGCTGCAAAAGAAGATGCAGGTAACAGAAATGGATGGGTGGTTGGCAGATGCAAGAGAAAACACAGTTTTTCTCACCCTTTTCGCAACATGGCATTCCAGAACATCTGCTCAGATGGATAAACCCACTTATTGTCCGTGCCGTGCCGGGGAATGGTAGACTCTTCTCTCGAAAYGGAGAGTTTAAAGGGCTGGTCTGGAGCTGGCGTTTGGTTAGGAGGAGGCATCTGGACGCACAGAGAATAGAATGTAAACACATTATTAACTCGTTTCTTTCTTTTTTTTTACTTCTTGTTTACTGCTCGTTTAGAAAACAAACTGTTTCTCTATATATCTTCAAAGAGTGATGAGAATGTTTTCTTGAATCCCAGTTCAAAGAAAATCATCAACATGTAAATAAAATGCAGCTGGACCTGCACACTCTCTTTTAACTTATGTTTAATTTGCTTCACCCCGCCCACGACTCTCTGAATTCATCCAGATACCATGTTTGTYGGATCTATGTCACTCTTCAGGCCCGCTGCAGCTTTCATAGGATGCTCCACAAACTCATAGGCCCGGTCCTGGTGAGCTGGACCCGCCTCTGCTCTGTGCATGGGACACTCTGAAGGAGGGGATGCTGAGAAATGAAAACTGATTACTACAGGAATAATGCACATCATGCACGTCCTGAATGCATATCATCCATCATGACTCATGCCAAAGTTTTAAACTGAGATCATCTCATAGAAAAGATGAATCTGTAGCTCTTTTAAAGGGATCCCTGATTAGTTTTAACATTAGACTTTATTTGATAAACATATATTTTAACTGTAAAATAAAGACTGTAAAAATACTGTAGGCCGTTAAGTTTTAAAAAATTTTAAAAATATATTTTAACACAGATGGAGCCATTTTATTTACACACAAAGCCTTCTGGGTAATTGATGACATGAATAGGTCCTCGGTGTGAGCGAGCTATATCCACCCTGAAGGTTAATCTTGGACAATATCTGACGATCGACTCTTTTAAATGAAACCAGAAAGCGTTGACAGAGAGGAGAAGGTAGAAATGACTCAGCCTGTAACTGAAAATATGGATGGAGGACAACAGAGCTGCTTCATGGAAGAAGAAGCTCAGCTTAGCCTGTTAGCTTTAGCACCAACACTATATTGCCATTATATGTATTAGCTCAGCGCGACAAACAAGCTAAAGTGAGGTCCTCCATCCATATTTTCAGTTGCAGCTGAGTCATTTTTGTGTTCCCCTCTCTGTCATGTGGATGGAGGACCTCAGTGACGAGAGGAGAATGTGTAGCGCTGAGCTAATACATTTATATGGTGATAGCATCGGGGCTAACGCTAAAGCTAACAGGCTAAGCTGAGGTTCTTCTTCCATGAAGCAGCTCTGTTGTCCTCCATCCATATTTTCAGTTACAGRCTGAGTCATTTCTACCTTCTCCTCTCTGTCAACGCTCTCTGGTTTCATTTAAAAGAGTCGATCGTCAGATATTGTCCAAGATTAACCTTCAGGGTGGATATAGCTCGCTAGCAGCCTCGCACCAAGGACCTGTCCATGTCATCATTTACCCAGAATGCTTTGTGTGTAAATTAAATGGCCCCATCTGTGTAATATAATTTTAAACTTTTAGTTTAAAAATGATAAAAACTAAACATCCTACAGTATTTTTACAGTCGTTATTCTACAGTTAAAATATATGTTTATCAAATAAAGTCTGATGTTACAACTAATCCTGGATCCCTTTAATGAAACCATGAATATGACAATATTTCACCTAATCTGTTAGCATTAGAAGTTTGTGTTGTGAATGACTCTCAGCTATTATCACATCAAATTTTAGCTCAACAGCTGCAATATTGACTAAATCACAGGCATTGGGGTTTGATAAGGTTGCTAAACTGGTTCGTGAGATGTTTCGGTAACATACACACACAAATACAAACAAAAATGTCACCACTTTTGATAAAAGTGATGAAATCCTCATTGAGAAAGTCAGGGTAACACTGACCTTTGACAGGCTGAGTTTGATGCATGGGACACTCTGAAGGCGGAGACACTGAGAAAACAGATTCATCAGATTACAACATGTTACCACAAACAACAACACACATTTCAAGATTTAAACCAAGAGGGAAACTGACACTTGTGTACCTTTGGCAGGCTGTCCTTCGTGATGCATCGGGCAGCTCTGGGGGTGCGTGGCCATCACAGCCTCCGCCTGGACCGTGGCAGCAGCAGGTGCGGAYACGGAGGCTCCCATCCTGCTGTCTGAGCACAGAGACGTTCAGTCAGTTTCATGTTACAGAGTCTGAAACAGCTCTGAAGCTTTGAGCAGGAAGGTAATAATTTACTGCAGTCATACAGGGACATAAAAAGACAAAATCTTTTACAAAGCTGTTGTGGTGAACAGGCGGATACTGAGGTCACATGGTGTTAATAGTAATTTAAGATCAGCTGTTGGCTCACGGTGATGATTTTGTCCTTCCTTCTGAGTGGGTGATGGGGGAAGTCAAACTTTTGCTGACCGCCTTTAAGCCTTGGGAACTTTGTGCTTAAAAATAAAACTTTGGCCCTCGATTGCTTGTTTCTCACTGCCTTGGAATATGGACGTTTGTTTTTGCCATGGATCTCGTCAACAGCTTCCTCCACTCAGCTGCTCGGCGACTCAGATGTTGACAGTTGTCAATAGCTGTTTTTAATAAGCTTTCAGTACGAAATGCTGCATTCGCATTTATTCACCTAAAACAAACTGTTGTTTGTTTGTTTTCCTATTTGGTAACATACAAGCACATACACAGACACGGGCAATTTAGACATATGGAAACAGCTTTTTGTCTTTAAGAGCACAATACCAACATCTGTATTGGATTGTGGTTTTCCATGTCAAAGTGACAAGTAACTAATTCAACCTAACCTTAACCCAGCGGGTAAACCTTTGATACATTTTATTTTTTAATTAACGGGACTTCCAACAGAAAATGTTCTCGTTACAAAACCTCCACACTGACACTCCACGTTAGCTAAGTAGCTAGGCTAATGCTAGCTCAGGTGAACGTTATCTTTCTCCATACATGAGATAATTCCTACAGTTTCAGGACGCTCCTTCGCCGCTCTCTTACTGAATATCACACAAATGAGTTAAACTACAGAAACAAATCATAAAATCCAACACTGACCAGTGAAAGAAGTCACGCTAGTAAGTCCTGTCTCCTTAGTCCAATGTCAATGTGCGGCAGCGAGGTGGTCACGTGAGATACGTAAACCCCTGGCGTCATTCCGCAGAGGGTTCTTCTTCTTCTATGTTTTTATTGCCGTTGGCAAACATCTAGGTGCTTCACCGCCACCTGCCAGATTGGAGCATGGATCAGACGTACAACTTCCTATTTTTAAAATTCTGCTAAAAACCATATCCCCAGATGATCTTTGAAAAATTCCCTAATATCTAATTTAGTTTTATAAGTTGCTTTTTGGAACAGTTTCACTACTTCTCACTACTTTCACTTCTTCTGCACATTTTCTTATCTATTTTAATTTGTTGAATTTTAGCTGCTTATTTCCTTATCATGCATCGTGCATCGTGCATATGCTGCAGTATGACTACCTCCACAGTTACAACATTTGACAGGACTGTTTCCGCACTCACTATAAGGATGTTCATCTCCACTTTCCCTTTGCAAACATTTGCAATATAAAGAACTCCGATTTTCTGGTTCCTGATTTAAATAAATAAAGGCCTATGTTTTGTAGGCGTATTTTAGTCACATTACAAATGACTAAAAAAAAACCCTTTTTTGTTGTAGATTGTTTCACAACTACAAAACCCCCGTTAAAGTTTACATAAGTTTGTCAAATATAAAGCAGGGTGATTTTTTTTTTTTTTTTTGCAGATATAATTTCCGAGGTATCTTAAATGTCACGTAAAGATGGAGCTTTTTAAACTTTGCCTCCAGTACCTATAACAAGTCACTGGGAATTCGACATGTTTTGTTGGCTGTAGTTATTTTAATAATAGACTTACAAAGCATTTTCTTTTTTGTTATGAATCTAATTTTAATTCCTGCCAAATATCACATTCACGGATGTAAAATTTCCAACAAGAAACATATTTTCCCAATTTTTTTCGTTTTTTTTTTCTTTTTTTTTTTTTGTGATCTTAATTTGGAATGTAATATTTTACTTCATATTGATTTCAGTGGTACGTCTTTTATGGCTGTCATGATGTGTCGTTACCATATAGTTTTAGCTGTACTTGTTGAATTTAATGAATCAGTCAAGTTCTGTTTTGTTCCACTGATATATCTCTATCTCTGATTTTCTCCATATCAATATTAGAAAAGCATAATCTTGTATTTCACAGACTGCATTGGCCTAAACATGATTTTTTTATATAATTTGAGTATAAAACATTGCCAACAAAATTGCACAATTACATTCAAAACTGTTGAAGCACTAACATCAGTCATGAACTGTGATACTTTGTCTGATCTATCTACTAGAGGGAGCCAAAATACAACTCTTCTCCTGTGACACAGCTGAGCAATGAAAAAAAAAAATTTTTTGTTTGTTTGTTTGCTTCTTTGTTTATTAGTTTGTGGGCCAAGTTATCCGAGGGATGTTTTGTAACCTTATAAAAAGAAACCAGGATTTGATCAAGCTTGTTTTAGATCATCTTGGATTTTTCTGTTTCACAAAAACTAAATTAGRCCAAAGAGGATCAGCTGGTTATACACTGCCTGGCCAAAAAAAAAGTCACCACCTGGATTGAACGAAGGTCTATGATGTGAGGTTGCTGCAGTTGATCAGGTCTAGGTTCAACAACAGTTTGTGCTCAAAGAATGAGGTCAGATGACTACCTGAATATACTGAATGACCAGCTTATTCCATCAATTGAGCTTTTTAATTCCCTGATGACACGAGCATGTTCCAGGATTCATTGGGCYGGAATTGTAAAAGAGTGGTTCAGAGAGCATGAGACATCATTTTYATTTTGAAAAATGAATGCAACACTGGATGGAAATAATCTCGTGACATTGCAGAAGCTTATCRAAACAATGCCACAGAGAATGAGTGCCGTAATCAAAGCTAAAGATGATCCATTGAAATATTAGTGTGTGACCTTTTTTTTGTGGCAACTTTATATATTTATTTATTTATTTTTTGGCCAGGCAGTGTACTTTATTAGACAYAACACAACAGATCTCATTGATGGGGTTGTGAGATCTCCATGTCATCTTCATCTTATATGAAACATCTTATTGTTCCATATTTTCCTAACAGAGCACTTCGCTCTCAGACTGCAGGTTTACTTGTGGTTCCTGGAGTTTCTAAAAGTAGAATGGGAGGCAGAGCTTTCAGTTATCAAGCTCCTCTCTTGTGGAACCAACTTCCAGTTTCTGTCCGTGAGGCTGACACTCTGTCTGCTTTTAAGATAAGACTGAAGACTTTCTGTTTTGATAAATCATATAGTTAGGGTTGGCTTGCGTTTCCTGAGCTGTCCTTATGCTGCTGTAGGTTTTTAGACTAACCACATTTCCTCACTCTGCTGTTGTCTTTAGAAAATGTTAGTAATTAGCATTTCACAATGGGAATGAATCGGCTACAAATTAATTTTAATCTGAATTATTCTTTCATAATTTATGCTGTTTTTTTTAACCAGGATGCGTGTTAATGCTCTCCATCGAACTGCTTGTTAAACAAGAAAGACAAATCTGCATCTGCGATCACTGTTTCCACTTTGATGGAGCTCATGATGCAGCACATCTGTTGTGACAAAGCTGTTTTCCATGGTGATCTTCTGTGACAACATGCCAACCATAAAACCTTRGTTGGTCAAAGTACATTCTGCCCCACTCCTCAACCGGAGCTGACGCTGATGTGGTCTGACTGAAAACAGGGCGAAGAAAGTTTTTTTTACGAAACAGGCATGGAAATGCTTTTGATGGCCAAAAAGAGAGAGAGAGAGAGAAAACAATATTTAGTGCAAGCTGCAGTCCACATGCTGCTTTGAGCCTGAATGTTTTCCCCAGAGAGATACCACCAACTGCATCTGCTGTATTTATGCAACGCCAAGATAAAAATAACCTCACACACAGCAGAAAACGTGTAATTGTGGCTTCAGAAGAGAATTATTTTAGAGATGTTTTTCAAAGTGAGGGGAAAGACCGTGGAAAAAAAGCGTAATTTCTTGAACAGAACCAGTTTAACAAACAGGCCACTAATGTTCTCTTTATAACGTATTTTTTATCCATTTATGTGAAGTCAAATACTCACCTTATTCACTCTCACACACCAATACAGTAAATATGTTAGGAGCAATGAAATATCAGGACAGAAAAAAACAACAATCTGGTCTTTGTCAGGTTCTAAAATGATTCAAATATTACCTGAACTGAGGAAAAACAAATGTCATCAATAGCTGTGGAAATTAAGCAGATATGGGCAGTGAGTGTTTAGTGATTTTTCTGCTCTGCATGTTAGTGTCCATCAACCTGAGAAGGGTCAAATGTCATTTTCAAACTTTTTGGAGTCAATGGACCTCATGCAAGAACCGTTCGTACGCACAGATTTGTTCTTAAATTGTGCGTACGAGTGATTTAGGAGAATTTGTGACATTCACCAATGTTTTCATATTCTAAGATTTTTTTCAGATAMGAACAAAATTTACGAGTGGTCCAGACCTGTCGTATATTTTACCAGCAGTCAGTCTGCTGTTATCCAGACAGGTTTTCTTCACTAATAACTTTATATTACGTTAGTTTGAAGATATTTTGGGTTGAAAATAAATTACACTCCATAATTATGTTGACAATAGGCTATTCTGCTTGAATTAGAGTTATAATTTTAAATGTAATAATTTAGACTAACAACATAAATTGTCCGTCCGGCCGGCTTATCCACTATCGGGTGCGGGGGCAGCAGGAGAGAGACCCCGCTCTCCCCAGCAACACTTTCCAGCTCGTCCTGGGGACTCCGAGATGTTCCCAGGCCAGAGGAGATACATAATCCCTCCAGCGACTCCTGGGTTTTCTCCAAAGTGCCAGACGTATTTTGAAAACATTTTAAAATGCTTATTTCAAAAATGACAGATTTTCTTTTCTGGATCTCTGACAGACGGACTTCAATCTCTGAACTSGTAAAGTTCTTCTTTTTAGTTTTCGCTGTCATTTTCATGAATGGACACTTCCTGATATCTGAGGCAGGAAACATAGCCTTATATGGTGTTTTTGGGGTGGTACTTATGCTAATCTCCTCTCGCGTGCACGAGCAGCTGGATAGAACAGGTGTAATTTACGCAGCTCATTTACACACTTTTCCTGAAGATAGAAGAGTTTGTTGAATCTGACGTGACATGTTCGTACGAACCCTTTGTRCAAAAAAAAGTTAAGAGAAATTTAGGATAAGAGTACGAACATGTTCTTGCATGAGGCCCAATCATTCTACAGAAAGAAAGAAGACTCACAAGAAGAAAACCTTTAAGACAACTGCCAGTCTTCCCAGTAGTGGACATCCAGAAAACAAAAATCACACTAGGCCAGACTGTTCAATATTCAGAGGAATGAACTCAGCCACTACAAGCCTTAGTTAGCAGGTTAAAGGTCACAATTAGAAACAAACTGAGGCTTGTTTGGAAGGGCTGCAGCAGAAAGCTCCTTCTCTCTATAAACATGGCAGCACAACTTGTTTGACTTGTCTCATCTGAACGATGAGAGTACAACGATACACTCCTTGGATCTTACTTGAGTTCACTCTTACAAAAGTTGTAAAAAAAACTTTCTTTGCTCTTCGCTCCAACATTTTTCTTTTGCTTGTGCCCCRAGTTTGGGTGGAAAAAGGGAAACGAGCATTAAATGTCGCTGCCCTAACAGCATGGAACTAACCCCAGTCTGAACTTGGTCTGAAAATGCTGTAAATAAATTTGACTTTGCCTTGAAACTGGCCTCTGTCTCTTTGAGAAACTCCTACCATTTCTGACGCTCCCACTACAGCACATCTTAACAACAATGCATCGGGAGGTCGGTGCTCTGTGGGGCGGGAGCTCAGCTGCAGACTGAGCTCCGGGGAGGAGCTTTGTACAAATAGGCAGTGCTTTGTATCCCCCTTTAACAACAACATTAGTTGTGCTCAGGTCCCCTTTGAAAATTAGATCTCAATATCAACTGAGTTTTAAAAACTCAAAAAAAAAATAAATTTTAAGTGAACTCTTCTGTTTATTAAAAGTTTCTAAAGTCAAACGTGAGGCCATCAGTCCAACAACTGAAGCTTGGACCAAACTGGTTCATGA